AAAATTTACGATAAGGAACGAAAAAAGAAAATAGAACATTGTAAATTTATTATCTTGTGAATATTTTAAAAAAAGATTAATGTTTTAGTTCGTTTTAAAAAAAATGTGATTTTGATAAAAAATGTCTGTGTTCGCTGAATTTTTCATCAGAATAGCAGATCTAATGTCTGTTTCTTTTTTTTTGTATAGGTGTAAAAAAAATTGGTATAATCAATTTAATTTCTGAAAAGAAGTGTGGGTGAGAAATGAAAGATAAGAGAAAAAATACTTATCGGGTTGAAATTGTTTTGGAGTCAGTTATAAATTTATTTGTTGTTGTTATTGTTGTTGCTTTTGTTTTCCTTTCCTACTGAACTTTCGGCTCTTAGTGTCGGTTTGAAGTCAGTGATGGAATTTTCTGTCAGTCTTCTGTCCTCTATGATCTCTGCGCCCTTCTGACTGGTGACTGACCTGAAACTCTTTATTTATTGTTGCCTTTTTTTTAACATTGGCTCGTTATTTTTTTTTAGTTTAGCAAAATTGCTAAATTTCATAAGCTGAAAATTAATTTCACACCTTATTGTGAATTGACTGTTTTTGGTCGTTCTGATCCGATTTTTTAAAGAAAAATCTACATTTGTAAAAAGTCATTTGTTGGAATGATATAGGATTTGTATCCTATATTATTTACAAATTTTGAATAAACGGTTTGTTTTCTCACCAAGTCACGTGACAAGCATTTCTAACTTCCGATATACTTTTTTTTTTTTTTTGTATCTTTCGTTGTCGTCTGCTTTCAATCAATTTCTATTCGCATATTACCGAGTAATTTTTTTTTTGTCTAAACATACTATCTTCTCTTTTCATACATATACACACACATAATGGGGACGGAAAATTGACTGGCGACAGACATCCTTTTTAACTCATTGTCAATGTGCTTTTTCACGTTTTCTTAATTAAAGATGTTGTACAACAAAGAACTTATTGAAATTTAATCGTGTCTTATGTAGCATGAAGATTATACAGAATAAATATCTTCCTTTGATTAGACAACGTTTTATCATCTTTTCATTTCTACACAAAGGAGATATATACTCAGATATGAATTGATTCATGGCAAACAAACATTTTTAAACAAAGCAAAAAATAAATACGTTTAAAGCAAATTCGTGTTATTAGGTCACTGCAGGACTTTTCACTTTTAATGCAAGAAAGTAGCGGGGAATGAAACTTGTGAACGGGGTTCAAATCCAAAAGTAACCATTTGACAATTTAGATTTGATTAAATAATATTTGACATCTCGAAAGATTTGGCGACAAACTTTCCCAACGCCAAGACTGACAATTTTCTTTTCTTATATACCAATATTTTCATGTAAGTTATTCTGATGAGATTTCCTCCTTGGTACCCCGACCGCAATGAATTTAACCATACTACCATTATTTAAATAGGTCCCACTGTTGAACTAGCTAGATGCAACCGCCACTTCTACTTTAACCGTTTCTTCTCCCGCACTTCTTACCTGTGGAAATCCCTTCCGATTTCTTGCTTCCCTGATAACGACAATCTTCAAAAATGTAAATGTGACGTCAATCGCCATCTTCTGTCTTCCTGAACCCTGTTCCATTTTTTTCGTTTCTCCTCAATAAAGTCTTCTTATTCTCTTTCACTAAGCAACCCCTTGCATCTTAGTGGCATTATCTCCTTAATGATTAAAATAGTGCAGTATATTTTGTGTTACTATTTTCTAAGAAAGTTTCACATATTAACTGAAGTGTCTGCAATGTAATCGATCCAGCGCGGTTTTAGTCACTTTCTCATCGACGTAACGTGGCTTCCCTCTGTCTTTTAAACAAATATTTTCATGACAAAGACTGCTTGAATGAATTGTTACTAGATTAGCAGTTTTTGTTCACCAGATATTTTGTGGCTAGATATTGAACTCACAGCTCTTTGGGTCAAGTCGTTGTATTTCTTCAGCCAACGCTTTTATCCACTGGAACATGTGGCAACTTGGAGAATTGAGTCGCTAAAGAGACTTATGGCACATGGAAGTACAACAAGCTAACATAGAGGACTAAATAAAGAGTTCGGTTCGAAATTCCAACGTATATCATCTGAAAAAGATGCAACGGTCGAAACGTCGTGAATGTATATAATACTAAAAGTCCGTGATTGTGTGCGTCCTTGTGTGCTGCGTTCGTCTGGCTCATAATGATTTACGAGTTGTTTATACAGTAAATATTTTTATTTTAACTTTCTTCAAACAGAAAATTTTTTTTAATGAAATTATTTCTATGTTAAAAGCAGACACAAAAACATCCCATTTTGCTGTTTCGTCCAGTTGTTTATAGAGTAATTAATTATATTTCAGGTTCTTCAAACACACAATGTTTTAAATATTTAAAAAAAATATTTTTAAGTTAATCTGATTTAAAAAATATTTTAAGTGAATACGATTTAAAAATACGAGCTGTTTATGCAGTAAGTATTTTTTTATTTTAACTTTCTTCAAACAGACATTTTTTTTTAAATTAAAATGTTTTTAAGTTAAAGACAGGCACAAAGAGATCCCGCTTTGCTGTTTCGTCAAGTTCTTTGTAGAGTAATCATTATTGTTTCAGATTTCTTTACACAAAAAATATTTTAAATATTTAAAACATATTTTTTGGCATATTTAATAAATATTTTCAAGTAAATATGATTTAAAAAAATAAACTTTTTAGCATATTAAAAAATATTTTTAAGTTAATCTGATTTAAAAAATATTTTAAGTGAATAACATTTAAAAATACAAGTTGTTTATACGGTAAGTATTTTTATTTTAACTTTCTTCAAATAGACAATTTTTTAATTAAAATATTTTTAAGTGAAAGACAGACACAAAGAGACCACGCTTTGCTGTTTCATCCAGTTGTTTGTAGAGTAATTATTTGTATTTCAGCTTTTTTTAAACAAACAATATTTTAAATATTTAAAAAATGTTTTAGGCATATTTAAAAAATATTTTCAAGTTAATATAATTTTAAAATATCTTTTGGCATATTGAAAACATAATTTTAAGTTAATCTGATTTAAAGTTCAAGTGAATAAGATTTAAAAATATGAGTTGTTTATACAGTAATATAACAAATACTTTTGCATTTTGTACAAGTGCTCACATATACTTTTTTTTAACGAATATCACCCCAAGCAAATTGGGAGTGTCACTAGCATGCAAATGGTTACAGAGAGTGAGAGCATGAGGGGCGTTTGTGGAGAGGATTAAATAAATGACGCGGATCAAGATCAATCATCAGAAGATGTCGATTGACATTACATTTGAATATTTGAAGATTATGGCTATCAGGGAAGCAAGTAAGAGGAAGGAAGTCCCACTGTCTGGAAGTGCGAGATAAGAAGCTGTTGGATTAGAAGAGACGGTTATATTTTATCCGTTTCGGTGGTGAACGGGTGGGAGATGTCACCCAAGTAGCACGCTTAAATTCATGCAGTTTGGGTACCAGTGAATGTAGCTCGTCAGAGCAGTTGCAATGAAAATATTTGTAGAAAAGACAGGGAATCCACATCACGTCTGTGAGAAAGTGACTGTAGATGAGATGCCAGATCAGGACCTATCACATTGCATATCCGTTTCTCCTGCTCTTCATCTCGAAGTCTTCATGAAGAGCAGGAGCTATAAATGCTGTTAATGGACTTCAAGTTTGTCCAGGAAGTTCTATTCCTATTAAATTATGTAAACAATCAGTAAAACGTTAAACATGAACTTACAAACCGGACCAATGATGTCAGTCAGTCAGTTACGTGACATGCGTGATACACGCTTAGGCGATCATGTATCTTTCGAGACATGACTGACGAGGCAGATTTTTCCCCCGCAGTAGGTTGCCATTTCTTTCTGCGGTAGACCAGTTGGCATCCAAGGCTATAGAACCTGGTCTGCCCTGCTATTTACTCATAGCTGGGAGAGAGAAGAAGAGGATTCACACCTTCCCCAAGGGTATTAGCACATAAGTGAATTTCAGTCAGTTAAGTGCCATGCGTGATATACGCTTAGGCGATCATGTATTTTTCGATACAAGACTGACGAAGCACATTTTTCCCGCAGTAGGCTGCCATTTCTTTTGGAGGTAGACCAGTTGCCATCCAAGGCTATAGAACCCGGTGTGTCCTGCTATTTACCCATACCTGGGAGGGAGAAGAAGAGGATTCATACCTTTCCTATAATTCTTTATTATCTCGTAGGTGAATTTCAGTCAGTTATGTGCCATGCGTGATACAATCTTAGGCGATCATGTATCTTTCGATACATGAATGACGAGGCAGATTTTTTTTTTTTTTTTTGTCGCAATAGGTTGTCATTTCTTTCTGTGGTAGACCTGTTGCCATCCAAGGCTATAGAACCCGGTCTGTCCTGCTATTTACGGTGGAAGGAGAGAAGAAGAGAATTCATACTTTTCCCAAAGGTATCAGCACAGAAGTGAAACTAATGGATTCGACAGGAATTCAAACTCGACGCGAACGAGTTAAAATACTTAGCTGAATAATAATATTGAAGTCAATTTCAGTGTCTTATAACCTGAACCGTCCTTGACCCGTTGGGTCACGGGTAGTCTAGGATGACAATAAAGGTGAGGACAATGTAAGTAATGTAAATAATAGAAACAATTAGGCTCTAAAGATTTGGCTAACGACACGCCCTAGAGAAGGAAAACTCCGCATTCAAACCGTTTGAGCTCTCATCTCATACGAAATAACTCTACTTCCTACGCAAACAGTATGATAATTGCGTGTATCTTTCGAGACATGACTGACGATGCAGATTTCAGAAAAAGTAGGTTAATTTTTCTGGATCGGTACTCAATTTGCCATCCAAGGCTAATAGAACCCGGTATGTCCTGCTATTTACCCATACCTGGGAGGGAGAAGAAGAGGATTCATACCTTTCCTAAGGGTATTATCTCGTAAGTGAATTTCAGTCAGTTATGTGCCATGCGTGATACACGTTTAGGCGATCATGTATCTCTCTCAGTCTGTTCTCTCTATCTATCTATCTATCTATCTATCTATCTATCTATCTATCTATCATAGTGGCCGGTGTCTGCAGTTTGAAGAAAGAAAGTTTATGCTTATTTTGTCGGCAAAAATTATTTCGGGAGCTAATTCTGCTCTCAAATCTTGACGCAAAAGTATCAGGCGATGGAGGGAGACGTGGCAAAATATCGATCTGTAATTCGTTTGAGATGGTATCGCTCAAAGACAAGAGCACTTTAGAGGTGAAAGGCAATCGGAGAAAGCAAGAAATGCAGACAAAGGAGGAAAAAAAAAGAAGTTAGGGACTAAATAATCTAATTAGAAGTCCAATGATTAGCTAAGAATCATTTGGGGGCTGAGGAGAAAATGTCGGCATTTCATCAACAAACTAATATCTATCTTTCCTCTTTGTCATTAATATCTATCTATTTTTGTTCATCTATCTATCTATCTAATCTATCTATAATCTCTCGGTCTCTCTCTCTCTCTCTTATCTCTCTATGTTGTTAATATCTATTTATCTATATTTATTTATGACCTATAAATATCTGTCCGTCTGTCCCCATCCCTCTCTATTTCTCTCTATCTCTCTCTCTCTCTCTCTCTCTATATATATATATATATATATATATATATATATATATATATTTATACATATCCTCAGTCTATCCATATCTATCTATCTATCTATCTATCTATGACCTGTTAATATCTATCTGTCGCCTGTCTGTCTCTGTTTCTATATCTATCTATGACCTGTTAATATCTATCTATCTATCTGTTTCTTTCTTTCTCTCACTCTCTCTCTATTTATCTATGTATGCCCTGTTAATCTCTGTCGATCTGTGTGTCGGTCTGTCTGTCTGTCTCTCTGTATATATATCTCTCTCTGTTCCATCTTCAAGCGAAATGTTTTTTTGGCTTGAAGTTGGAACAGAGCTTAGTACTTTAATTCAGTTTAATTCAAATAATTATATTGAAGTTTTCGGCTCTTGTTTTGAAACATGAGAACTCTTATGTAGCGTTGGTATCATATTTTTGAATAAATAATTATATATATATATATATATATATATATATATATATATATATATATATATTATAGCAGCATGGCCCAGTGTTGCCTGTGCTTGATTCAAAAAATCGTACGACTCATACAGCAATCGCTTTCACTTGACTTAAAATATTTTTTGCCCTTCCTTGCTTTTTAAAGGAGTGCCCTTTGCCGTGCTGATGTTGCTACATGCCTTACTTCTTGCCTATCTCACACTGCAAATTTTTTCTAAGCTCTATACTAAACATTAAATCTGTTACAAAAAAAGAACTAAACAAAATGAACACAAAACGATCAGCTTTAAAAAAGGACTGGTAACTGGAAAAATCGAATGAAAAAACAATGTTAACAACAAATAATTTTTCACACCCAACCCAGTTCCGCGGAATCGGAATCAACGTTGAGTTTAATCAAGCGAATGGGCCAATTGGAGTAAAGTGCCATGCAGATTCAAATTTTTCCCACTTGTGACGAATGCAGCTATAGATTTTTTTTGGCTAGTTGGCATTCGTGTCAGTCAGCTGTTGGCTCTCACGCTGGACAATAGAATCTTCCTGCCTATTTGTGGCAGCCAGCTATAGGCTCTCACTCTGGCCAATTCAAAATGGCCGCAAACTACATGAAAACTGCCGTAGAAGCATGAAAAAGTAAATTATTTCAACTATCGATTGGAGTTGGGAAATGCAAAGTCGGCCTTGGCCTTTCCGCTAACTTGGAGCATGTGCATGTAAAATTTTGGTGCAAATCCGTCGAAAATTGCGACATTTGTTACACACACACACACACACACATCCTGCCTATATATATATATATATATATATATATATATAAAATTGTGGTCACTTATGTTAACACCGTTTGATGACTGTCTGTTTCATGCCCCATCGATGAACAAATGTATTATTTTGGGGAATGACCAATTTTTATTGCAAATATCTACCTAGACACAGCGACTTAACTGGACTATTTGTAGAATTACGGAAAAATAATACAGGATTTAAATGGATGCAAATATAGCTATTGAAAGCTTAAAAAAACGTCACTAATAAAAAGAAAAAAAACTCATTACAAAAGTCTTTGATCCCAAATTAAGAAGTATTATTGACTATCGATGCAAGTAGCCGCAATTTTTTTCTCAAGAATGTCATCTAATAATGTACCTTTCGACAAAGTTAACATCAACTACTCAAATATTGAGAAAGAAGCATTAGTAATAGTATAAAGAGCTCGAAATCTTTTGTTAGGACAAATTTTTTTGATGAAGTCAGATCACAAACCTTTAGAGTTTATATTTAACCCCAGAAAGGAATTACCAAAAGTCACATCTTCTAGAATTTTAAGATGGGCTACAAAACTCATGGTCTTTTATTTTGACATCATACACATAAATGGGAACACAATTCCATATGTGGATGAGCTATCCAGACTAAATTTCTATAGTGAAAAATCAGAAACGTCTGAAAATTCAGAAAATTAAATACTGCACTGGGTTGAAATGAACTTGTTACCCTTAAATTGTCTCAGAATGAAACAACACAAGATCCAGTATTAAGCAGAATTTCAGACAGAATAAAAAGAAAAAAAAATGGCAGAAAAACCAGATCTAAGGCTCAATATAATTTTAATTGTAGAGAAAGGCATAATATGCAATGGAGATAGAAATATTTTCTTTGTAATTCACTTAAAAGATGCTACAAATCTTTGTTCTGTTCCTATACATTTTTCGCTTTACATTTTTCTTTCTGAGGTTGAAACAGCTTAGTGAACCTGACATTTGCTAGTGGGGTTACGTGACTGAGAATGGGTTCACATGGGTTCTCGTTTATAATTTGATAGACATTTTGAACATCTCTTCTATGTTTGCGAAGATGAGATAGAAACTGACATGAAACGGACTGAGAAAAAATGTCAGCATTTTATCAACAAACTAACATCTCTCTCTCTTTGGCCTGTTAATATCTATCTATCTATCTATCTATCTATCTATCTATCTATCTATGACCTGTTAATACCTATCCGTCTGTCTCTCTGTCTCTATCTATGACGTGTTAATATCTGTCTATCTGTTTCTATCTATCTATCTATCTATCTATCTATCTATCTATCTATGACCTGTTAATATGTGTCTGTCTGTCTCTGTATATATATATATATATATATATATATATATATATATCTCCTCAGATTGTCTATATCTATCTTTAAATATTAGTCAAGTTTGTATCTGATATATATATATATATATATATATATATATATGTGTGTGTGTGTGTGTGTGTTATTTCTGTGTCACGGTATTAACTCCTTACCCCCACTTGGTCGAGATGTGACACAAAGTCTTTTTATATGGGGACCGGAGGGTGTACCTCCGGGATAAGAACAAATATGCCCACAGCCCCTGCAACTGTCGGTTGCCCTGGCCTCGGTGCGAGCACGGTCCCTTGCTCTGGTGCAATGGAATGAAGAAGGAACTAGAGACAAATGACAGCAAGTCCCAACAAGAATTAAATTCGTGAACCAGGTATATATTAAATATATATATATATATATATATATATATATACCCTGGTTCACGAATATTAATATATATATATATATATATATATATATATATATATATATATATTCCTGGTTCACGAATTTAATTCGTCCCTGAAGGCTGTTCGTAAGCCGAAATGTTCGTAAACCGAAAACAAAAGCACGACACAACACACGAATGTATACAACACGGCGGTCGACTAAGAAATGATTCCGTTCGGGTTAACTCGGTCCGGCAATGTTGTTCGATAACCGAAATTTTGTTCGATAATCGAGGCATTTTCATCTGAAATGTATTGGAGGGGAGTTGGGCGCTGCCAAGCTATCTACAAGCCCATTGAAAAGATTATGAAACAAGAGGATCAACAAGTAGGACTACACCAGAACCGCTGATGGCTGCCCTTGATAGATCGTTGCGAAAGAGATTCAATATGGCTTCTGCATTCGGATCATATCCCCCCGACCACCACCCGCTACGATTACAAAAGCCAAAGGGATGATGATGATGATGATGATGATGATTGTGGACAGACGAATAGAAATTTGAACTTTTTGATTGTAAGAGGAACCTGGAATTGCCAAGTTATCTACAAGCCTATTGAAAGGATTATGAAGCAAGAAGAGCCACAAGTAGGACTATACCAATATTATATATGCATATAAATGTATATATATATATGAAATTGTGGATACTGTTGTTAACAACGTGTGGCGACAGTCTGTCTCATGCAACAGTCAAATGCATCGCTGAAGAAATGTATATACAAATATAGAAACATTTTCTTTTTAACCCATTTAAAAGACACTACACACCTTTGTTCTGTTCCTATATTTTCCCGATTTACATTTGAAATAGCTCTGGGAACCTGACTTTTGCTGGTAGGATTATGTGCCAGGGAATTGGTTTACGCAGAATGTCTCGTTTATAACCCGATAAGCCTTTTGTCCATTCCCCTATGTTTGTGAAGGAGAGATAGAAACTGACATGAGAAGCATCCGAAAACGCGTTATCCTCACTCCGGCGGCAGTAACGGGATTCGTCCCTCCGATCCCAAGTATCGATAGAGTCCAGTCCATCAACTGGAGTCGACCTGATTGAACAAAAGACAAAGCCTGGAACGGATAGCTGAATACTGCATGGTTTGACATTGAAAGAATCAAATGGAAGACAAGTTCGCGCCCGTTGACTCTCGTGTCAAGCGAGAATAAGAAGTCCATAGTTTCTGCTACCCAAAGGCATAGATCATCGCGTAAATGTCTTAAATGTTTCTGACACATGAAGTAAGGATTATTATTATCTGGGATTCTTACTTTCGTTTAGAAATCCTACACTGGCTCTAGTAAATCAGTCCTGGGCATGACGATAAACTCCAGCTGGCAGCAAGCCTCTGATCGAGAGATTGGAGGTTTTCAGGAGCGTGAAACCACCTCTTAATTGCTAGTTCTGGGTATGAAGATAAACTCTAGCCGGCAGCAAGCCACTGATCGAGAGATTGGATTTTTTTCAGGAGCATGGAACCACCTCTTAATTGCTAGTCCTGGGTATGAAGATAAACTCCAGCCGGCAGCAAGCCTCTGATCGAGAGATTGGATTTTTTTCAGGAGCGTGGAACTACCTCTTAATTGCTAGTCCTGGGTATGAAGATAAACTCTAGCCGGCAGCAAGCCTCTGATCGAGAGATTGGATTTTTTCAGGAGCGTGGAACTACCTCTTAATTGCTAGTCCTGGGTATGAAGATAAACTCCAGCCGGCAGCAAGCCTCTGATCGAGAGATTGATTTTTTCAGGAGCGTGGAACCAATCTTAATTGCTAGTCCTGGGTATGAAGATAAACTCCAGCCGGCAGCAAGCCTCTGATCGAGAGATTGGATTTTTTTCAGGAGCGTGGAACCACCTCTTAATTGCTAGTCCTGGGTATGAAGATAAACTCCAGCCGGCAGCAAGCCTCTGATCGAGAGATTGGATTTTTTTCAGGAGCGTGAAACCACCTCTTAATTGCTAGTCCTGGGTATGAAGATAAGCTCCAGCCGGCAGCAAGCCTCTGATCGAGAGATTGGATTTTTTCAGGAGCGTGGAACTACCTCTTAATTGCTAGTCCTGGGTATGAAGATAAACTCCAGCCGGCAGCAAGCTTCTGATCGAGAGATTGGAGGTTTTCCGGAGCGTGAAACCACCTCTTAATTGCTAGTCCTGGGTATGAAGATAAACTCCAGCCGGTAGCAAGCCTCTGATCGAGAGATTAGAGGTTTTTTAAGAGCGTTAAACCACCTCTTAATTGCTAGTCCTGGGTATGAAGATAAACTCCAGCCGGCAGCAAGACTCTGATCGAGAGATTGGAGGTTTTCAAGAGCGTGAAACCACCTCATAATTGCTAGTCCTGGGTATGAAGATAAACCGGCAGCAAGATTTGTGATCGGGAGATTCAAGGTTTTGAGGTATGGAACCATATATTAATTGCTAGTCCTGGGTATGATGATAAACTACATCCGGCAGCAAGGACAGAATGCCGTTACAGATTTAAAAGTCTATATTAAAATGTAATTTAGTGGATTGATTATATTGAATTAATTGCTGAGTCTACTGCTATGAAGCCTGGTTCATTGTGTTGTGCCAGATAATTTTTTTTCTCGTAAAAATACATCTTATCTGGTCTGGTGCTTCTATGTAAATAAATGCGAATTTCAGTGTGTCACTGTGTCACACCTTTTCAACGTTACTCCTAGAGGCCGTATCCCAACATATCCTACCATTTTGGAACCAGACCGACTCCGTGAGCAAATTAAAAACATTCTGATCAGGATCCGGACCTGCAATTCTTAAATTTTGGATTCCCAAGTATTCATTACTGCGACTATTTTCGGATTCCACCATATTGCCTTCTACTGATAAAAACAATTAAAGGGACACAACTCTTTAATTTTCAATAGCTCATGTTCAAATGAAAAAAAATACTGTTCTCAAATTACAGTGTTTCAAAATAAAATTGTTCGTATTTTTAACTTTACTCCGAGAGGCTGCAGCCCAACATATCATACCATTTTGGAATCAGGCCGACTCTGACGTAAATTAAAAACATTCTGGCCCAGATCCGGTTCCGCAATTCTGAGATTTTGGATTCCCAAATTTTGGATTCCGAAGTATTCATTTCTGTAATAGTTCCCAGCGAATTTTTACGGGATTTATTTTTTTTAATTTTTTTTTTTAATTTTTTCATTTTTATTTTTATTTTATTTTATTTTTTTGTACGATAATTTTTATGACTTGGAGATAAACTTGGAAATAATTGAAAATCCAAATGAAAATAAAAATAATTTTTTGTACAGAATGTAAGGACCTACGTACATCAAACAGCAGAATTATCGTTGAACATTTAAAAGGTAAGCTTAAATATTAATGCAGTACTTAAGTGCAGCAATCAGTTTTGAGTTCTTCTGTAGTTTATGGTTGCCTGTTGCATATGGCAGCAGTATTCCTCGCAAAAAGAAATCTCCACTACCAGAGGATCAGAAGAAAAAAAAAGTCCCATGCAAATGACAATCCGGATGAAGTGACAGCCAGAAGAGCTTCCAATGCAAAGAATATACAAAGTTTGACGGACTCTCAAATTTCTGAACAAGGCCCAATCAAAAACCGTCCGTAGGAGCTAGCTTAAATGCAGCCCCATAGTCTAGACTCCCTATATAGCTCGAGATTCTTGAAAAAACAAAAACAAAAAAAAAAACAAGGCTCTGCAATATAATCAATCCGGACCTGGCATCTCAATTTCAGTCACTTGTCCACTTACGTAACGTGGCTCCCATCTTTTTTCTACAGATATTTTCATGTCAATCCTTCCTCATGAGCTTTTCTTCTTTGTGACTGGACTGCATTGTTACTAAGTCTGTCACCAGATTGGCAACTTGGTTTCATAGTTTTACTGTTGGTCTAATTAGATGCAACCGTCTGTTCTACTCTAATAATTTCTTTTCTCGTACTACTATCCTGTGGAACTCCCTCCCGATTGCTTGCTCCCCTGCTCCCTAGAATCGACACAAATTTAAATGCAACGCTAGTCGCCATCTTCTTTCTTTCTGAATCCTCCTGCTTTATGATCCTTTCACCTTCTCGCTAAAGTCTTCTCATTCTCGCTCACCCTCGATAAGCAGATGCGTCTTAGTGGCTTTATCGCCTTGCTTGGTGATTAAAATGATTTAATAAAAAAAAGAACATATATCTTTAATTTGGATTAAGCTATCATCTCACAGCATGGGGAGATTAATTTAGAACTCACTGACCCTAGGAAATTGGTGTCTTCATTTTGTTTTTCTGCTATGTATCTCGTTATTCTTGTCAGAAGCCAGAGAAACATCTGCAATGTTATAGGTCCTGTCCTTGCATCTCGGTTTAAATCCCTTTCCCTCTGCTGTAACGTTCCTTTCCCGTGTCTTTTCTATAATTATTTTCATGGTAATTTCTCTGATACTTTTTTTTCCATTTTGGTATTTCTTTTTCACGGATTTTAAGCGCAGTACTAGACCGGCAATTAGGTCTCATCACAGAAAATTCAAAGTCCTCAGAGTCAAATTTCAAAATCCCACTTTCATTACTCAAACCTGTAATCTAAAATATCTCAAGTAAAAATTCAAATTGATGAAAACATTTTTTTTAAAAAAAAAAGGACTGAAGTAAAATTTAAAAATCACGAAATCCATGGTCAAATTACCGAATTCAAAGTTCAAAACCCTGAAGTAAAATTTAAAAGTAGTTCAAAGTTGAAAACATAAAACTAAACATTCTTAAATCAAAATCAAAAGTCTTGAATTCAAATGACATATTTCTAAATTCAGAGTTAAATTTTTAACGTCAAACTTCATTAATAATTTGGGACATTGTGTCATATATATATATATATATATATATATATATATATATATATATATATATATACGGGGTCTAATAGCATAATTGTCTATCCCATGAAATGTTTAATATCTAAAAAAAAAACACTTAACTAAATGAGTTTCTTTTTCCAGGTTTACCCATCTTGGCATCATTTGTTGTAAGAATCACTGAGGAACACTTTGATTTATTCAGCTAGAATAAGAACAGGTTAAAATCGTTTTGTGTCAGACCCATTGTCTTCCCAAGTGAGCAATGGTGAGAGGAAAAAGATCATTCAGGCTTTCATTTATGGTACCAGCATACATGCTCTGGCTTCCAACTTCAATGTTCATTTAAGAACCATCAAGAGAACGGTGAATAAGTTTAAAAAAAGGAAGAAATAGTAGAAATGAAAACTGGAGGTCACAACAACAAAAGGGATCAGCATTTCAAATTAGACCTAAAGAGATCAATTAAAAAAGATCCAACTCAATTCATAAGCGTTTGGCACGTGAAGGAGGTGTTTCAGCTACGACAGTCCAAAGAGCTGTGAAATAGAGTTGAAAATGAAATCTTACGTGAAACGTGTGAGGTACCTTGTTACCCCAGGACAGAAAGTTAGAAGTTTAAAGAAAGCGAAGATCATCTTGAATAATTTAGAAAATGATCCTAGAATAATACATTCATACATACATATCTATCTATCTATCTATCTATCTATCTATCTATCTATGTGCCTACCTCTTACTTTCTATTACTCAATTCTCTGTAATTCTGCATCAATTACTCTCTTTCGCCAGGAAGATTATCTCTCTCTACGAGCAACATTCCTGTAGCTTTCTTATTATTCATTTCTATCTATCTATCTATCTATCTATCTATCTGTCTGTCTGTCTGTCTATCTGTCTGTCTATCTATCTATCTATCTATCTATCTAAGACTGGAGTCTATCTATCTATCTATCTATCTATCTGTTGAAGCTTAAATAAGCATGGAATAATACAACACAAAATGTACGTTAACAAAATGTATTGAAACAAAGAATAGGTACACAATATTTACAGTTAGTTTGGTATATTCTTGGGAAGACTGTTCCTGCATAATGGGTTGACTAAATCGCAGTCGGGCAGAGTCTCTCGATTCAATTTCTTAATCTCTACTATCTTCCCCGTCTTCCGGTACCAACCCATATTTATATGGTCGGTAGTCCGCTTATGTAACTTAGGTGTATCATACACAACACTATCTATCTATAAACGTTATTTCAATCCTTCATGAACTTCCGATGCTTACCTATAATTAATTAATCGATTGCATCACAATTCTTCTGTTAATCTTGGAGAGAATTTATACATTCTTATTGGTCAAATTATTGTCCAATAGTGTAATAAAAAAAACTTCGGAGGATTCCAGTAAGGTATCTTTAATTTTTTTCAGAATATAACGCTTCAGACCGTAATCTAGCAAATGGACAATTTTGCTGTTACACGAGTTGGACAATTTTGCTGTTACAGCCGGTGTATTAATATCTTAGAGCCATTTAAGTATGTGACGCCAATTTAAAACTTGGCAAATATCATTATATGTTGTTACTTTAATTTTTTAATCTTTCTTCTTTGTCTTTCGTAACACTTCGGCTGTGAGCACTCTGGCATTCCTAGAGTGTCTATTATATCCGTGATTGTTCAGGTATTCGAGTTTCTGGGCGCATGTTACGCATACTGCATCCCGTCATGATTAGGAGATATGCGTAGGCACCCCTCAAGTAACAGTCTAGACAATTAGTATGAAACCAAGCAGATAAGTTGATCAAAACTCGAAGAACCGAGCCAATATCTTGATTTGCAGATAATGATATCTATAGGAATACTTTTCAAGACAGGATATTTAGGATTTTTTACCAAAATATCTACCAGTATGTTATGGGATCTTACCCATAATAAGAATGGACTATTCCATACTTAAGAAATACTGCGCCTCAGTCAGTAGGCGAGAGTCCGCCGCTCGCTTTCTGAGCGAACGTTCGGTTTAATCTCTCTGCTTTCGGGCGGAGGAACCATGAAGGAGGCTACGCCGAAGGGCGAAAATGGATCGGGGAGGTAAACCGGCCCTGAACCCGTTTATACGGTTTCAAATGGGCTTTTTTGAAAGGCGATAATGGCTCGGAAATGCCAACGTTAAAAAGGCCTTGTGCCAAATGACGCCCCTCGTGGGGGGACGACTAAATATAGTCCGCATTTTTCTGACGAACGGTTCGGTTTAACTCTAACTTTGGCGAGGATAAATAAAGGAGGCTACGCCGAAGGGCGGATCAATATCGGGAGGTAAAACCGGCCCTTTTATACGGATTCAAACTTTTTTTTTTGGCCGAGCCTAATGGCTCGGAAATGCCCACGTTAAAAAGGCCTTTAACATGACGCCCCTCGTGGGGGACGTAAATATAGTCCGCCGCTCACTTTCTGAGCGAACGGTTCGGTTTAACTCTCTGCTTTCGGGCGGAGGAACCCGAAGGAGGCTACGCCGAAGGGCAAGTTCCTTCGGGGAGGTAAATTTTGAACCCGTTTATATAATATTTTTTAAGATTCGGAAATGCCCACGTTAAAAAGGCCTTGTGCCACATGACGCCCTCGTGGGGGACGTGAAAATAATGAAACTTTCTGAGCGAACGGTTCAGTTTAACTCTTTTTCGGGCGGGAGGAACCCGAAGGAGGCTACGCCGAAGGGCGGAGTTCCTTCGGGAGGTAAACCGGCCCTGAACCCGTTTATACGGGTTCAAAAATAAATTTTTGGCCGAGCCTAATGGCTCGGAAATGCCCACGTTTAAAATTGTGCCACATGACGCCCTTTAATATAGTCCGCCGCTCACTTTTCTGAGCGAACGGTTCGGTTTAACTCTGCTTGGTCGGAGGAACCCGAAGGAGGCTACGCCGAAAAATAATCTCCCTTCGGGAGGTAAACCGGCCCTGAAACCCGTTATACGGTTTCCCATTTTTGGCCGAGCCTAATGGCTCGGAAAATTCCACGTTTTAATTGTGCCACATGACGCCCTCGTGGGGACGACTAAATATAGTCCGCCGCTCACTTTCTGAGCGAACGGTTCAGTTTAACTCTCTTTTTTGGGAGGGAGGAACCCGAAGGAGGCTACGCCGAAGGGCGGAGTCTCCTTCGGGGAGGTAAACCGGCCCTGAACCCGTTTATACGGTTTCAAATGGGTTATTTTTTGGCCGAGCCCCAATGGCTCGGAAATGCCCACGTTAAAAAGGCCTGCAAAATATGACGCCCTCGTGGGGGACGACTAAATATAGTCCGCCGCTCACTTTCTGAGCGAACGGTTCGGTTTAACTCTCTTTTTTCGGGGAGGAACCCGAAGGAGGCTACGCCGAAGGGCGGAGTCTCCTTCGGGGAGGTTTCGGCCCTGAACCCGTTTATACGGTTTCAAATGGGCTATTTTTTGGCCGAGCCTAATGGCTCGGAAATGCCCACGTTAAAAAGCCTTGTGCCACATGACGCCCTCGTGGGGGACGACTAAATATATCACTTTCTGAGCGAACGGTTTTTTAACTCTGCTTTTCGCTCACTTTCTGAGCGAACGGTTCGGTTTAATCTGCTTTCGGGCGGGAGGAACCCGAAGGAGGCTACGCCGAAGGGCGAAGTCTCGAAGGGGGAGGTAAACCGGCCCTGAACCCGTTTATACGATTTTTTTTTTGGCCGAGCCTAATGGCTCGGAAATGCCCACGTTAAAAAAAGGCCTTGTGCCACATGACGCCCTCGTGGGGGACGACTAAATATAGTCCGCCGCTCACTTTCTGAGCGAACGGTTCAGTTTAAACTCTCTGCTTTCGGGGGGAGGAACCCGAAGGAGGCTACGCCGAAGGGCGAAGTCTCCTTCGGGGATAAAACCGGCCCTGAACCCGTTTATACGGGTTCAAATGGGCTATTTTTTGGCCGAGCCTAATGGCTCGGAAATGCCCACGTTAAAAAAGGCCTTGTGCCACATGACGCCCTCGTGGGGGGACGATTAAATATAGTCCGCCGCTCACTTTCTGAGCGAACGGTTCGGTTTAACTCTCTGCTTTCGGGCGGGAGGAACCCGAAGGAGGCTACGCCGAAGGGCGGAGTCTCCTTCGGTGAGGTAAAACCGGCCCTGAACCCGTTTATACGGGTTCAAATAAAATTTTGGCCGAGCCTAATGGCTCGGAAATGCCCACGTTAAAAAGGCCTTGTGCCACATGACGCCCTCGTGGGGGACGACTAAATATAGTCCGCCGCTCACTTTCTGAGCGAACGGTTCAGTTTAACTCTCTGCTTTCGGGTTGGGAGGAACCCGAAGGAGGCTACGCCGAAGGGCGGAGTCTCCTTCGGGGAGGTAAAATCGGCCCTGAACCCGTTTATACGGGTTCAAATAATATATTTTTGGCCGAGCCTAATGGCTCGGAAATGCCCACGTTAAAAAAGGCCTTGTGCCACATGACGCCCTCGTGGGGGACGACTAAATATAGTCCGCCGCTCACTTTCTGAGCGAACGGTTCGGTTTAACTCTCTGCTTTCGGATTGGGAGGTTTCGAAGGAGGCTACGCCGAAGGGCGGAGTCTCCTTCGGGAGGTAAACTCGGCCCTGAACCCGTTTATACGGGTTCAAAATATATATATATATATATATTTTGGCCGAGCCAAAATGGTGTGTGTGTGGAAATGCCCACGTAAAAAAGGCCTTTGTTAACATGACGCCCTCGTGGGGACGAAAAGCCATAGTCCGCCGCTCAACTTTCTGAGCGAACGGTTCGGTTTAACTCTCTGCTTTCGGGCGGGAGGAACCCGAAGGAGGCTACGCCGAAGGGCGGAGTCTCCTTCGGGGAGGTAAAACCGGCCCTGAACCCGTTTATACGGGTTCAAATGGGCTATTTTTTGGCCGAGCCTAATGGCTCGGAAATGCCCACGTTAAAAAAGGCCTTTGCCACATGACGCCCTCGTGGGGGACGAATAAATATAGTCCGTCATTTTCACTTTCTGAGCGAACGGTTCGGTTTAACTCTCTGCTTGGATTGAAGGAACCCGAAGGAGGTTACGCCGAAGGGCGAAGTTCCTTCGGGGAGGTAACGTTCGGCCCTGAACCCGTTTATACGGTTTCAAATGGGCTATTTTTTGGCTGAGCCTAATGGCTCGGAAATGCCCACGTTAAAAAGGCCTTGTGCCACATGACGCCCTCGTGGGGGACGACTAAATATAGTCCGCCGCTCACTTTCTGAGCGAACGGTTCGGTTTAACTCTCTGTTTCGGGCGGGAGGAACCCGAAGGAGGCTACGCCGAAGGGCGGAGTCTCCAAGGGGAGGTTAAACTCCGGCCTGAACCCGTTTATACGGGTTCAAATGGGCTAGTTTTTGGCCGAGCCTAATGGCTCGGAAATGCCCCTATTAAAAAGGCCTTGTGCCACATGACGCCCTCGTGGGGACGACTAAATATAGTCCGCCGCTCACTTTCTGAGCGAACGGTTCGGTTTAACTCTGCTTTCGGGGCGGGAGGAACCCGAAGGAGGCTACGCCGAAGGGCGGAGTCTCCTTCGGGAGGTAAAACCGGCCCTGAACCCGTTTATACGGGTTCAAATGGGCTATTTTTTTGGCCGAGCCTAATGGCTCGGAAATGCCCACGTTAAAAAAGGCCTTGTGCCACATGACGCCCCTCGTGGGGGACGACTAAATATAGTCCGCCGCTCACTTTCTGAGCGAACGGTTAAAGTTTAACTCTCTTTTTCGGGCGGGAGGAACCCGAAGGAGGCTACGCCGAAGGGCGGAGTCTCCTTCGGGGAAATAAAATCGGCCCTGAACCCGTTTATACGGGTTCAAATGGGCTATTTTTTGGCCGATTTTAATGGCTCGGAAATGCCCACGTTAAAAAGGCCTTGTGCCACATGACGCCCTCGTGGGGACGACTAAATATAGTCCGTCGCTCACTTTCTGAAGCGAACGGTTCGGTTTAACTCTCTTTTTTC